TGTCAGGGATGCCTCTGGCAAGAGCATAGGAGGTTGGTCTAACACAGCTCTGAGATTTTTCTTCTTCTATGAGATGGGTAGTTGTCTTCTCCTTTCCCTAAGACAATTGGGTCCCAACTCTCATTTGATCTGAGATAAGGTTGGTTTTTTTTTTTCCTGACAATTGGGTCCCAACTGTCATTGGATCTGAGATAAGATAATTTTTTCCGATTTAATTTAGCAGACATTAGATACCTACTGTGTACTGAGCACTGTGTTCTACAGTAGTAGGAAGTAGAAGGGGAAGAGAATGGAATAAGCTCATATTAAGCACATACTATGTGTCAGACACTGTGCTAAGTGTTTTTACAGATATTTTCTCATCATATCAAGAGAGGTGACTGCTATTATTGTCCCCATTTTACAGTTGAAGAAGCAGAGTCAGAAGTTAAGTGACTTATTTAGGGTCACACAACTAGTGTTGGAGGTCATATTTGAACTCAGGTCTTCCTGAGTCCAGGCCCAGTGCTTTATCCACTGTATCACCCGCTGTCTGTAGTGGAGACAAAATTTAGATAATAAACTCATGGAGCTTACTATCTGGCATAAGACAACACAATAACATTTCAGTGCATTGTTATCTCATTGACGTCAGTCAGTCAACAAACATTTATCAAGTTCTTACTAAGCACTGGGAATATCAAGAAAGACAAGACAATTCTGGGCCTTGAGGAGCTCACAGTCTAATAAACGATGTGGGTGTTTTCTCCTTTGCTGTGGAAGACCACAGCCCATGCATGCCTTCTCATCCTGTGAGGCTCTTGTCCAGGTCTGCCCGTCCAACATGCTGAGCTCATTCCTTGAATCTCTAGTCAATACGGGCAAATGGATAATCTATCTATCCACCTGTCTATCCATGGATCCATTTATCTCTCTATATATCTAGCTGTCCATTTATCTATCCATCCATCCATCCATCCATCCATCTACCTGTCTATCCGTCCATCCATCCATCCATCCACCTATCTACCTATCCTACCTATCTGTCTGTCTGTCTATCCGTGTGCCCATTCATCCATCTCTCTCTCTATATATATGTATCTAACTATCTATCTATCCATTCATCCATTTATCTCTCTATATATCTAGCTATCCATTTATCTATATATTCATCCATCCATCTATCTATCTATCTATCTATCTATCTATCTATCTATCTATCCATCATCATTCATCTACTAGGGATGGGGAACCTGCAGCCTTGAGGCCACATGTGGCCTTCTAGGTGCTTGGGTATGTTTTTTTGATTGAGTACAAGTTTTATAGAACAAATCCTTTTATTAAGTTTATGAAGTTTTGATTCCCCCCCATCCCGGATCCATTTATCTATCTACCTGTCCATCTATCCATCTCTATCTCTGTAGGTATCCACTCATCTATCTATTTATCTACCTATTCGTCCATCTATCTATCCATTTATATCTCTTTCTATCTCTCTATCCATTTATCCATTCATCTATCTGTCCATCATCTATCTATCTATCTATCTATCTATCTATCTATCTATCTATCTATCATCTCTTGTTCTTGCTATATGACAGGCCCATCTTTTCTGCTCTGTTTTTGGCAATATCTTTAATGCTGCTCCTACTTTATAGCTCTCTACGTCACAAGATTCTAGGATCATAGGTCCAGAACTGGCCTTAGGGGCCATGTGGTCCAACTCCCTTATTTTGCAGATGAAGAAACAGTCTAAGAGGTTAAGTGACTTGCCCAAAATCATGCAGATAGCAAGTGGCAAGGCTGGGGTTTAAACCCAGATTCTCTGACTCCAAACCCAGTACCATGTAGCCACCTCTTTTCACCTCACCATGTCTTTCTCTTTTGACTTTTGACTTTACTTTTCCCTGCAACTTTAATTCTTCAGGAACTGTGGTACCCCATGATTCTCAAACTCTGACACAAGATCATTTTCATCCACAATAATATCAGAGAGGCTTAAAATAAAGTGCTCTGTGAACTCCAAGGGAAGACCCTTAATGACAGGGGAAATCAAAGAAGGCTTCCTGGAGGAAGGCTTTACAACTCAACTCCATGGAGTTTAGGGGATTTAAAGCATAGGCAGGAGTTCAACAGGTGAATGCAAGGAGAGAAGATGCCCTAGGTTGCCCACTTAGTGATGTTCCATTGGGCAGCTAGGTGGCACCATAGTGCACAGAGCACCAGGCCTGGAGTCAGGAAGACCTGAGTTCAAATCCAGCCCCAGACACTTACTAACTGTGTGACTCTGGGCAACTCCCTCAACCCTATTTGCCTCAGTTTCCTCATCTATAAAATGAGCTGGAGAAGGAAATAGCAAACCATTCCAGTATCTCTGCTAAGAAAATCCCAAACAGGGTCACAGAGAATCAGATGTGACTGAACAACAGAAACAGTGGTGTTCCATGTAGTTGTGCTATCCTTTTCAGTGAGGAGGGCTCCGGGGCTGGAAGGGCCTCCCCAGTGGTTGTGCACTCTATTCAACACCAGGGGATGCTCAAGGAGAATGCCGGTCTTATGTGGTTCTCAGAGGGCTCTTACCTCTAGGTCTCCACTGCAGCCTTTTGTGGATGGCAGCTACTGGCCTTGTTAGTCTAGGAGGTGGGGTCAGGGTTTATCTAATTAGAATCTTGGATTGAGCCCCAACCCTTAGGGAAAACTCCACCCCTTCCCTGATGCTGTGTTTCAATGAATCCTAATCACTTGACCGTAGGATAATGGAGCTGACCACAAACATGGCTTAACTATTTACAGTCTTTACTTGTGACCAAAGAAGTAAAAGGAATACAATAAAAATACATTAAAATAATTACCTTGAAGTCCATTTGCATACAGTTTCTCCCAGTCCCTGGTGGTCCACAGCCAGTCTATAGTCACACCCCAAACCTAGATACAGTTTGCATGTCTAGACTCAGCTGTTCAGGGTCCCAGATGTTGTATTTAGCAAACACACCAGAAGCTCAACCACCCATGATCTCCTGGAGGGCCACAGTATGCAATATGAAGCCCCATGAGGACAAGAGCTGTTTCACTGTTGTCTAGCATGGACCCTGGCATGCAGTAGGTGCTTAATAAATGCTTGCTGATTGTTTGGGGACCCAGGGACCCAGGTGTGGTGGCTACTGTTTTCAGCCACTACTTTTTATTCACTGTCCACCCTTATAACAACTGCTGGTCCTGCCTTCTGACTTCTTTGTGGTATGGAGAGTCAGTGACTGTACTGGAATAGTATCTCCAGGCTCGTTTATTCCATATGGAGTGAAAAGTGCAGTCAAGAACAGCCCAGGTAAGGAGGGACTTCCTTTTTTCTTGACCTTGTACCATCACACTTCAACCATGTGGACTGGCTCATTTCTCTCCTTGTTTGTACCCTCATCAACTTCAGGTGTTTTGATCACATTGGCTTTATGGGAGGAGTCCAGGAAATATGCATAAGCAGAAGCACAGATGTAGGGGAGCACAGGGCATGGTATGTGGTACCCACATTGGCCTACTCAGAGGGGAGTAACATGATCTAAGCCTGAAAAAGATGGGATAGCACCAGATTGGGGAGGCCTTGAATGCTTGGTGGAGAAATTTTAGCTATATTTAGTAGGGAAGAGGAACTCACTGAATATTCTTGACCTTAAGAGTTGTGGGGCCTAGTCTATTACAATAATGTGTGGAGAACAGATAGGAAGAGGAAGAGGAAGACAGAAGACTCAATAGAAAAGACTTATTAGGAAGCTACTATGAGGGTCCAGGTGGGTAATGAGGTCTTCTAATAGGATGGTAGCTGAAGAAATAAAAAAGGAAAGGATGGATGTGAGAGATGTTTGGAAAGTGGAATGTATAAGACAAAAATGGAAGAGGGAGACGTTACTTTCAGCAGAGGAATCATGGAAGGCTTCATGCAAGAGGTGTTTCCGGAGGTGAGGCTTGAAGGAAGAGAGTGGGAGAGAGGAGGGAGCCTTCCCAACTTAGTGGATACCTTAGATGACTACTCAGAGGAGGGAGAGCAGGACAACATCAGAGTACAGTTGGGAGCATAGTGTGATTACTGGCAGCCGCAGGGAAGTGCACGTAAGGAAACACTGAAATCGTGCTGGGAAGGAACTGGAGCCAGAGATGATGAGGGGCTGGACCAGGGCAGGGTCAGCAAGATGAGAGAGGAGAGGATGGAGCAAGAAATGAAACCCAATAGTGTGACATAAGGCAAGAGTCACACTCCTACAGCTCATTTAGTATGTGAAAGGTAGCAGGATCAATGAAAAGGAGGGACAACATGGGATGGTGAGAAGAACACTGGCTGTGGAGGGAAGGGCCCTGGGTTCAAGTCCTGGCTCCACCACTCACTACCTGTGTGAGCTTCAGTTTCCTTATCTATAAAATGGGGGGATGGGGTAGATGAGATGGCTTATGCTACCAGCTGAAGTCCCTTCTAGCTCTAGGGCATAATCCTGTGATGGGAAGATGGGGGGGGAAGGGAGCCACAACAGAATTTGGGAGGAGGAGCAGTAGGTTTCCCGGGTTTGTTTTGGGGTCTTGGGGGGTACATAGATGTAGAGATTCCAGACTGGAGCTGAGGAAAAGATAGTGGCTGGAGATGTAGATTTGGGAGTCATTTGCACAGATGATAATTGTACTCATGGGAGTCAATCAGCTCACTGAGTGAGAAAAGAGAAAAAAGAGAAGAGCTTTGGGGGCACACCCACACTTAGGGAGCGGGAGGAGCGTGAACCAGTGAAAGAGACGCACAAGGTGAAGACAGAGAGGATACCTAGGAGAGAGCAGTTTCACAGAAGCCAGAGGGAGGGAGACTGTGTAATGGCAGAGTGGGGGGGAAATGGAGAGTGGGATGGAGGGCAGGACGGGGAATGGGATGGAGGGTGGGATGGAAGGTGGGATGGAGGGTAGGATGGAGAATGAGATGGAGGGTGGGATGGGGAGTGGGATGGAGGGTGAGAAGGAGGGTGGGATGGAGGATGGGATGGGGAGTGGGATGGAAGATGAAATGGAGGATGAGAAGGAGGTTGGGATGGAGGGTGGGAAGAAGAGTGGGATGGAGGGTGGAATTGGGGCAGAACAAGGAAAAAGGACAAGAGAGCATTTGAGTGATGCCCTACAACTTCCTGGACACTCTATCCACCCTTGGCTTTTGTGAGCCTCTTGCTCCTGGGCCCCTCCTACTTCACTACCTACTTCCCCGTGTCCTTCCCTGCTCCCATTTTCCATCTATGGGTGTTACCCCAGGCTCTGTCCTGAGCCTTCTCTTCTCTCTACACTCTCTCCTGCAGCTTCCCCAATCTTTTCTTTGCTGGTAATTTTCAGGTCTACGTAGCTGCCTCCAATCCCTCCCTGAGCCCTAGGCCTAAAGTTCTAGTTGCCTCCTGGACACCTCAACTAGGACGTTCCAGGGACACTTTAAACTCAGTATCTGAGTGTGACCTTGGTTGTCTTTCCCTCCAAGTCTGCCCCTCTTCCAAACTTCCCTAGAGCTCATTTTACAGATGTGAAAACTGAGGCCTAGAGAGGGGGAAACCTCAGAGCTCGGGGCTGACACTGGAGCCCAGGGTCTCTGACTGCCAAGCAAGTGCTCTTTCCCCTGCACCATACTATTCCCGGTCCAAGCCAGACTGACCAGTGCTCGTCGTCGTCTTGCTCGCCTGTGTCTTACTGCTCATATGACTTTGGGCCTCGGTTTCCTCATCTCTCAAAAGCAAGGGTTGGACTGGTTGTCCTGAGGTCCCTCCTGCGGCCTGTGATCCTACCAAAGCATCATGGGGTTGACGTACTGCCCAGGTGTTTTGATGAAAGTAGAGGGTTGTTCTCTTGGAGTGACTTGATGCCTCTCCTGGTGTCCACTTTTCCATTTGTCCGGTGTAATTAAGTCAACAAACATTTGTTAAGCGTTTCCTATGTGCCGCACTGTGCCATGTGCTGGGAATACAAAGAAAATCAAAAGCAGAGTTCAGACACTTATTAGCTAAGTGACCTTGAGTAAGTCACTTAACTTCTCTGTATCTCTATAAAATAGGGATAATAAGAGCGCTAGGATGTTGAGAGGGTAAAACCTATGTAAAGAGCATTGCAAATCTTAAAATGCTTTATCAATGCATTGGCCATTGACCAGCCCTGCCCTCCAGAAGCTTACATTCTAATGGGGCTGAAAACACATAAGCAACTAAGCAGATACAAGATAAATCCAGAGTAGACGGAAGGTGTAGTCACACAGAAAAAATCAATATCAATCAATCAATCAATCAATAAACAAGCTTTTCTTAAGTGCCTGCTGTGTGCCAGGTACTGCGTTAAGGTCTGGGGATACAAAAACAGACAAAAGGCAGTCCCATTCCCCCTACCCCAAGGAGCTCACGCATCTAGTAGAGGAGACAAGAAGCAAACAAATAAATACAAAGCAAGCTATGTACAGCATACATAGGAAATAATTAACAGAGGGAAGGCACTGGAATTAAGAACCTCAGAGTCTCAGATGGAAGGGAAGTCAAAGGTCATAGAACCCAAGCTGGATCTGAAAATAAATCTTCCCCAGAGCATTCTTAATAATCCACTCCCCCGTTTGAGGGAACTTCACTCCTCCCACCTTGGAAAGACAGTCGTGTTTTTTTTTTTTTTGAATCAGTTTCTTCCTTCCAGTCTAAATGTGTCTCTATAGCTTCCTCCCATTGCTCCTGGGTCTGCCCTCTGGGACCAAGGCAGAGCAAGTGTGATCTCTTTTCCACATGACAGCCCTTCAGATATTTGAAGGGAACAAACATGTCCTACTTACATCATAGAACATGTATCTGGCAGAGAGATCATTGAAGTCCGACCTTTCATTTGACACAGGTGGAAACTGAGGCCCAGAGAAGGGCCCCTCTGGCCCATGGTCACAGTCAGGAGGCATCAGAGCTAGGACTCACACCTGTGTCCTTGGACTCCAAATATGAGAGCCTTTCCACCGCACCACCCTGCCTCCCTCTTCTTCAGGACAAACGTTTCCATTTTCTTCAACTGGCTCTTCACCGACCACAGAGGGTACGATGTGCTCTGGGAAAGAGCCCCAGGTCTGATGTGTGATCACGTGTGAGGCTGCAGGGACATCACACCATGTAAGTCCTGCCGCGGGATCTCTTAGGCCAGTCCCCTGTGGAGGAAATGCTAGGCTACGTGCTCTACCTTCCCCTTAGGTACCTCTCAGCTTTTCCCTTGCGTCTCCCTTACCTTGCCTTACTTTCCCTGTTCCTGGGGGCTGCTTGAGTCTGGGAGTTCTGCAGTCGGGCTGCAGCTGATTGGGTGTCCACACTAAGTCTGGCTCCAGTAGGGTGAGCCCCCAAGAGTGAGGGGCCAGCAGGCAGCCTAGGTTAGATAGAGAGACCTGGTCTCAAACAAAATAAAATAAAAACAAAGAACAGTCTGAGGATTGGGTTCAGTTTAAGGCTCTGCCACTCATTTGTTTTTAACCTCTCTGGGCCTCAGTTTCTCCAATCTATAAAACGGGGATAGTAACCAATTTGTATCCCTTGCTCTCTTGCTGTTTCTCATATCATCTCCCTATGCTGGCAATGCCCTCCCCTTATCTCCTCTTATTGAAATCTTTCAAGGCCCATCTCAAACACCTCCTCCTTCAGGAAGCTTTCCTTGATCTCTCCGGTTGTTAAGGATCTTTCCCCTTTGACCTTCACATAACACTTGGTCTGCATACCTCTTGGGCACTTATTATGTCCAGCTTTATATTATTTTTTTGTTTGGAGAGACAAGCACATTAATTCATTGCAGATGGAGTTGTGATTTGTCCAACCCTCCCTCTTGTCCACAGCCTCTCAGGCTGCCTTCCTGCCCAGGAGAAATTTCTGCTCTGGGGCTCCACCTACCTGATTGGTGATTGCCTCTCCCTGACCACTATTTGAGGAAAAGCCCCAGCTATGCTTCACTTCACTGGATTTTCTGGCCACCTCCTCTATAGCCTTGACAACTTCCTCCCCAGGGGGAACTCTTGCCTCATCCCCTTCCCCCAACCAGATCTAGAACCAATGAACCATAAGCAAAGCAACTCTAGCATTGTTCCTGTATGGGGTGTGTCAATTTGCTCTCCTAAGGCTCCCCCTCCCCATCATCCCTGTAACTTTCCAGTCCAAAGTGCCCCTCCCATACCACCACTGTCCTTTGCACGTTGCTTATTCATTCACTCAACTGGAAAACAATTTGGAATTATGCAAGAAAAGGAACTCAACTTTTCATCCCTTTGGACCCAGGGAGTCCAATGCCAGGACCATACCGCAAGAAGGTTATTGACCTCAAGAAAGGATCCACGTATTAAAAATGTTCACAGCAGCATTATTTGTGATAATAAAAAGTTAGAAACAAAATATGTGCCCAGAAGTTGGGGGAAATGACTGAACAAACTGTGAGTGCAGTGGAATCTTACTGTGTTCTAAGTAAAAATGAGAATGAAGAATTCAGGGAAACACGAGAAGACTTGTATGCAGTGATGTAGAGGGTACAGAAAGCAGAACCAAAGGAACAGTATCTATGGTGGTTCCTGGGGGTTTTGTCCAGACCTGTATTTCTGCCAGGGTGTGGAACCTCGTTCCTCCATCGATGAGTGTTACTTACCTGGAGGCACCAAGAGCTGCCATGTATCATCAATCCAGGTTTTTCTGACTCCAAGGCTGGTCTTCTGTCCACTGTACCAAAGAGCCTCCTACACAATGACCATGACAATGTCACTGACAAATTTGGGTCAGATACAATGGACAACATTGGTTTTATGCTGTCATAGTCAAAGCACAGTCCTTTATTTCTGTTCTTACAGATATTGTGTGTTCCCCAATGGGCTCCATCTGGAATATCGTCTTTGGTTCAGAACTGCCCCCTTTTAGGAAGGCTGCTGACAAGCTGAGGTGTGTCCAGAGAAGGGTGACTAGTATGGCGAAGGGACTGGATACTGTACCGTGTAAGGATCAGCAGAAGAAGCTGGGAATCTTTAGTCTGGAGATGGGTCTTAGCTTGATAGAAAGATGAAATTTCTGACCATTAGAAATCTCCAAAAGTAGAATGGGCATGCTTAGAAAGTGGTGAGTCTAAAGGCTGGACTCCCTCTTGTCCATAGAGAGGATTTGTATTCACGTGTGGGTTTGGAGTGGGGGAAAGGAAGACGCATTTATTAAGCACCTGCTATGTACCTGGCACTGTGCTAAGCACTTTATAAATATTTCCTCACAATAACCAGTGGAGGTAGGTGCTTTTATTAATCCCATTTTACAGATGAGGAAACTGAGGCCCAGAGGGGAAAGGAAAATACTTAGCTATAGTCATTGCCAGAGCTGAGATAAGATCCTAGGTCTCTTGACTCCTAGGACTACCCAGGGTTCTTTCCATAGCACTATTGCTGATATTTTTCCCAGGATTGCGAACTGCACAACATTATTTTCAGGGCAGGAATCTTTGCCCTGGAACTCCATGGGGCTGGAGGCTTAGGGCCACCTGTGGCCCCTTCCCCTGGTGAAGGCCCCTGGAGGAAAGAACATGAACTGTCTGACTTTCTCTGGCTCACGTCCTTACCCTGTCTTTCTCCAGCACTGGAAGCCAAATTGTCTGTGTCCGTGGAATAATTAAAGTTCAGGGAGGTCTGGATTTTATCCAGGCTTTAGGGAAATGTCTCCCACTCACATGACCGCAGGGCCCTGGCTCTGTAAAAGGTGGCATCCGAGGGCCCATTCCTTCCCCAGAGGCCCCTCTCTCATATCCGTGTTGGGCTTACGCCTCTGTCAGGCTCCCCAGCCTTTGCTCTGACTCCTCCTCTTGCACTGGCCCCCCCTCCCAGCTCTTCTCCATCCCTTGACATTGGTGTTGATGCTCCAAACCCTGCATTAGAACCCACCTTTGAGAAGCCCACCCTGCCTCACTCCTGTCTTTTCTCCAGTACTTTGGCATCCCTCAGCCCTCAAATGGCTGGTTCAGTATTCTGCTACCTGTGTTCCTGCCAGACGTGAAGCTCGCCAAGGGCAGGGCTTGACTGTGCCCCTCCTGCTATCTCCTCTGCTTTGTGAGCTCTCAAAAAACAGAGCTTAAGAGGCATCTAGGTGGTGCAGGGCATAGAGCTACAGCCTTGAGGTCAGCAGGACCTGAGTTCAAATGTGACCTCAGACACTTAATTAACTGTGTGACTCTGAGCAAGTCACTTAACCCTGATTGCCTCACCAAAAAAAAAAAAAGAGTTTAAGTCATCCCCTGTATGTCTCCACCCCACCACAGCTAAGCACAGGGCTGGCTGGACACAGGAGAGATCCATTGAATTGAGTTGAATTTGAACTGAGAACCCTGGTCCCCTCCTCTCCCTTAGTTCCTTGGGGTGGGGCTGGAATGAAGATGAGCCTCCTCAGACTAACCCTCTTCCTTCTGCTCTTCCCCTTGTCCCCCCAGCCCCCAATCTATTTCTGGAAAGTGAAGCCCACTGCTCCTGTCCCCTGCCCCTCACCCAGCCTGGTAGAAGAGGCCCTGTTGTTAGGGATTTCTGAGCCTCTCTCTACCCAGCAGCCTCCCTGTGGGGCTTCTTCTTCCCCTCTCTTCCTCATTTGGAAGCTGGTTATAAGGAAATCCCATCATGGCGAGCCCAAAGAGGCTCGAGGTGGGGTTCACTAGGTTACCTCATAGATTCCCTCTAGCTTTAGGCCTGTAACTAATCCAGTTCTTAACCTGGGACCCAAACACCCTTAGGAGGTTTGGGAAAGATTTCCAGGGTTCGAACTTGGATTGTGGAAAAAAAAGGGACCGCTTTCTTTTCACTAACCTCTAACTGAAATTTAGTATTTCCTTCAGTTGTGAACATAGGGAGCAAACTTTATTCTGAGAAGGTGATCACAGACTTCACCAGAAGCCCTGCTCCGTAGGTTCAATGCTCTGCCAGAGTCATCCATTGAGAGGTGGGTTGGACCCCAGGCCTCTCTGTTCTTTCAGGCTGGTGCACTTTCCAGGATACCGCATGGTTTCCCCCTCAGGCCCTTGGTGGGAGCCTCCTCTAGGGTTCTCCTTATTCCCAGGCTTGGGGGAGAAACAGGGAAATTGGAGGCAGCTTCCTGCAGATGGGCCCAGCCAGGGCCATTGCTGAGGCTGAGGGCGGATATGTCAAACCCAATTTAAACCCTGTAGAGGAATCGGCCTTTTACCTACCTTCCCAAGGGGACTCTCTCCATGATTCATTAAGCAGGCCAGTGGAGTCAGCCTGCCAGGGCTGGGGGGGTTATGGAGGGAGCTACCTCTAGGGGGAAGCTGGGATGGCACTCCTAGAGTTCTCCCCTCCAAGGGATGAGACCTCAATTTCCCCCTGCATCCCCAGAAACGCTGTAGTCTTGAGTCTCAGCCTCCTATCTCCTCAGCTCTCTAAGGGGGTGGGGGATTCTTGAGGAGAGGGAGAGGGTGAGGGGGTGGAGTGGGTTCCCTGAGTCATGCAGCCCGTGTCTGAGTAGGTTGAGCAGTGTTAATGAGCATAGAGAAGTCCTGTCTCTTCGGGACCTGTCTGAGGGATCAGAACTGGGGGAAATCAATTGCCAGAGAATGAGGGAGGAGAGGGATTGGGGTTGGGGTGAGGGGGTGCATCTGCTAGAGAATTTCCTCTAGCTCAACCTTACCGGAAACTTGGAATGCCTTGCCTCATTGGGACTTTCAAAGCCTTTCCGCTGACTGAAATCTCCCCTCAGTAACAGAGCTGTAACTAGGTCAGGGTAATTAATGGAGCCTTGTTTCCCGGGCTTCAGTTTGGGGGGGTGGTGGGGGTGCTGTAGGGTGTGCTCCTGACCCTCTGCTGAGCCTTCCTGTTGTCACAAGGGTCTGCCCCCTCCTCTGCTGCCTTCCTCTGGGGCTACCTGGTCTTTTCCACCCAGCTTGGGCATCGTTCTATCTACAGCACCACCCCAAATCAATTTGCTTTGGGCTCCAGGATTCCTACTTATGTATCTGTTCACAAGCCTCTTTTCTTTCTGCTTCTCCACCTGGAAGTCTCCCCTCTGGTCAAGCTGTCCAGTTCCCTGCTCCTACAGTGACATTCCTGCCTTCTATACCTCTATGAAGACCAATCACTTCTTCCCTCCCTGATTCTTAATCTGAACTGTTCCATACCCTCCAAAATGAGGCAGCTAGGTGGTGTAGTGGATAGAGTGCTAGGCTTGGAGTCAGGAAGACCTGAGGTTGAATCTAGCCTTAGATACTTATCTGTGTGACCTTGGGCAAGTTACTTAACCCCTTTCTGCCTGTTTTCTCATCTGCAAAATGGGGATAATAATAGCCCCCTCCTTCCAAGGTTGTTGTGAGGATCAAATGAAGTAAGGTTTGTAAAGTAAGTGCTTAGCACAGTGCCTGGCACAGAGTAGGTGTTATATGAATTTTAGCTAGTATTATTATTATTAAATTTACTTTTATAAATCATCCCCTCCGGAAGGCCCTTCCTGATTAACCAAACCTGGTTCCCATCACATCTTTCCTTTATACTCCCTCCTGTATGGAAATGCTGTTTTCTTTATCAGGGAGGAGCTCCCCAATAAAGGGGGTTCTATTTGACCCCCTCAAGCTGGGTGCCTCTGGGGACAAAGGCTACATGTCTCCTTCTGACCAGAGGGAGGACCCTTGTCTCTCCTCAGCCCTACGTGCTGTGGTGGAAGGAAGTCTATTCTGGGAGTCTGGAGACCTGGGTTTTTGTCTGGCCACTGCTACATATTGTGTGGCTGATCTTGGGCAAGTATCTCCTCCACTTCCACCTCTGTAAAATGGGTGGCCTCCAATAGATGATCCCCAAGGTTCTTTCCAGCTCTACATCCTACAATTCAGGCCTTTCAGGGGTAAAATGCTTCCTTGGAATCAGCACAGTGGGCAGATTGCCTCCCTTATCAGCTTGGTTAATCACATGGTCTCAGCAGTATTACAGGGTAGCAGCAAGGTGGTGCAACGAATAGCAGGTGAGACTTGGAGTCAGGAAGACCTGAGTTCAAATCCAGCTTCAGATACCTACACACAGAGACCCTGGGCTAGTCTCTTAACCTCACTTTCCTCTTCTGTAGAGTAAGGATAATAATAGTGCCTACATCATCGGTCGGCTGTTGAGAGGATAAAAATGAGATGATATTTGTAAAATGCTTTGTAAACTTTTAAGTGCTATATAAGTGCTAGCTATTATTTATTAGTATTATTGTTCTTTTCTGTTGCACGTGTGTGGGTCTCCCCAAGGAGTCTGGAGGCGCCCAGAGGGTAGAAGCCACGCAATCCTTCTCTATCTTCCGTAGAACCTTGAAGAGTAGTGAGGAGAGACAGCCAGCGTTCCTCGTTGGGATAATTTCATCTCGCTCCCAACCCTGCCCCCTCAACAAAACAAGAGTCTTTGTCAGGGAGGATTAGAGGTAGAGGGCAGGATGGCAGGTTCGTGATCCCATTTATCGGGGAAACTGGGACTTGGCAGGCCTGGCTCTATTCTAAGGCCTGACTCCTTATATAAGGAGTGCTAATATATGGACTCAGGCCAGCCAGGCACCCTGGTTCATGGCTTGGGAGCTGAGCTTCCAGGAAATGACCACATCATTCCTGGCTAATAACACTGGGTTCCTGACATCATCAGAGGCTTGAAACTCTGCACAGGCAAGACGGACAAGGTGCTACTTTCCAGCTGAGTGGTTGGCTGGAGGCTTCCTTTCTCCTAGCTCACACAGGAGAAGCAACATGATGGGGAAAAAAACAGAATAACAACAAGTATTGAATTTGGAGTCAGAAGAGCAGGGTTTCTGGTTCTGCCTTTGCCTTTTGACGTCTGTGTGACCTTGAGTAAACCCTATTCCCTTCTCAGATTCCTTTTCTATGAAATGAGGGCATTGGACTCCATGACCTCGGAGGTCCTTTCTGGCTCTGATAACTTAGGATTTCTATATTCACAGTCAGTTTAATTCAAAAGATCGAGATTCCCTGAGCACCTGCTCTGTGCAGGCAGAATTCTAGACAGGCTGAGGGGGAAATGAAGATGAGGATGACCAAACCCTGACTTTGTAGAGTTTACAGCCTCATAGTGGGGAATTAAGATGGCCCCAAATAATTGTGATGCAAGGAAGAATATGGCAGCACAGGGGCAAGAGTCACAGCCTGGGAATCAGGAGATCTAAGTTCTAGTCCTCACCTAGCCACGGACTTGCTTCAGGTCACTGGGACTCACTTTTCTTCTCTGTAAAATGGTACAATAAACTCTGGCCTGTCTGCTACCTAGGAGGTTTCTGAAGATAGAATGAGGAGCTGGCTGTAAATTGCTCTATAGATATCTAACCTCACCCTTGCTCTGCTGGGTTTGGTGGTCCTCTGAAGGACAGCTCTGTGATGCTGCATGTATGATGTGACTTCTGATTAGTGGAGAAGCTTCTGACGGGAGAGGGAGAGAAGGAGAGAGGGAGTAGTTGAGGGTTTTGAATGATGAATGGGAGGCCCCTGGATCTGTAGGCAAGTAGGGGAGGATCTTGTACCCCTACATATCCGTTCTACATGTTCCTGGCGCCTGAACCCCAGAGACTAGTAAAAGTGAACTTCTGTGATGAAATGATTTTTGCTCTGGTTGAACTCCTAGATCACAAAGCCTCTACTCTCAGGTGTTTTGTGTTATATGTGTGTGTGTGTGTGTGTGTGTGTGTGTGTGTGTGTGTGTATGCATGCATGTATGTGTGCATACATATGTATGTATATGTGTGTATATATACATGTACATACTCACACACATATGTATATATATATATATAGAGAGAGAGAGAGAGAGAGAGAGAGAGAGAGAGAGAGATCTTTATATATATGTTTTACTGCTTGCTTTGAAAATTATGTTTGCTCACTATCTGTGGTTGTCTTTTCTATACTAAGCATTTGGTGGGAGGGAAGCTAGCTGAGATCAAATAAAGTTACTTTCTAGGTCTGGGGCAGAACTATTCCCATCCTCCTTCTCCTCAGTAACCAGGGGGACACTTTTATATTGATATACTGAATCCCAACCAAAGAGTCATACCCCTAGAATGCAAACATCTGATGTGTAAGTATACATATTTTGGTTTTGTTTTTTAATATCTGAAAATAACATTTTCCAGGCACAACCAAGAGGACTGGGCTAAAGCTGGCCATGCCCTCCAGCCAAACTGTGGATGCAAGTTCCTTGCATCCGCTGGGTCACATGCCTGGAGAACCACAGAACATGGGCTATCGGAGTTGGAAGGGCCCTTAGAAAATGGATCGGAGAATATGAAAGCTGGAAGGGACCTTGGGTCATAGAATGTTTGAGCCAGAATGCCTCTTAGGACACAGAGTGTAGACTGTCAGAGGAGAGCCGGATGTTAGAACTTACTACCCTACTTCAGGGATTCAGTGATCTCATTCATGTGGACTATCTTTCTAATGGTGGAGAGCACAATCCATCCTTGCCTTCTTATCCTATATGACTCTTGTCCATGTGTTCCCATAATTCTGCCATAGGAAGGTCACCTCCTCCAATTTGCCAGAAGCTTTCTTACAGATCAGGAGTTCTTAACGTTTTTGGTGGCATGGAACTCTTTGACAATCCAGTGAAGCTTATGGACTTCTCAGAAAAATATTTTAAATGCATAAGATAAGATATGTAAGTTTCCAAAGGAAACCACTTATGCTGAAATTAGTTATCAAAATATATTTTTAAGACAAGTTGATGGACCCCAGGCTAAGATCTCCTGATCTCTGAACATTACACGTGGGTAACTGCATAGTCCTCAACCTGTCCATGTCTCCTTCCAAAAATGACTGGTCAACCTCCTTTTCTCGTCATACATCTCCTGGATAATAAATTTTAGGTAAAGGGACTTGCAAAGCTGAAATCACTGTGAAATCATTGTTGTGGTTATTTATTTCTTTAGACACTGTGTGGTAGTCTATGATTTGCAGCTACGTAGCAACTGACATTTTTTTAGTTGTGTCTGACTTTTCATGACCCCATTTGGGGTTTTCTTGGCAAAGATACTGGAATGGTTTGCCATTTCCTTCTCCAGCTGATTTTACACATGAGGAAAGTGTTAAGTGACTTTCCCAGAGTCACACAGCTAGTAAATGATTACCAGTTTTTAAAAGACGGGTTTTTGTTTTAAGAAGAAGCTTGGGATTCTCAAAAGTACTAAACAGTTTCCCAAACGCAAGCCAGCCTGCCCTCTCCTTAGAATTCCTTCATTCATTCAACAAGTATTAAGTACCCACTGTATTTTGTGAATAGTTCTTTCTACAACATTGGAGCTACCAGGGGTTACAGTTCCATTCTGTCACCAGCTCTTTGTCCATCTGTAACAGTGGCTGTCCAAGATCTATTAATACTGATGTACAAGTTTAACAGGACGACCAGGCAATTTCATTTCATGGTCCAGATCAATGGTGTCAAACTCATATAGAAAAGCATCCCCACAGGACTGCATGGTGACTCAGAAGACCACAAATGACCATTATCTGTATTGTATTATATTTTTATTTATTTTATTAAGCATTTCTCAATTACATTTTAATCTGGTTCAGGCCACACTTGGGAGTTTTGTTGGTGGGTAGTTTGATAACTCTGGCCCAGATAATAAGTATTCTTTATCTAATTAGATTTTCCTGTGTGAACTATTAGACCCACCCCTTTTGAGCAGCCTTGGATTTTATTTAGAAGAACCCATAGTATTCTGGAGCTCAGTACAATCAGGACAACATTATTCACAAACAAGAATATCTCTAGGAAATACTTCTTCCATTTGGACTCATATTGGGCAGTCTCCATGACACCAGCAAACACCCTTGATGAGATTTATCCCCATGTTTTATGCCTTGCTCTATACTGATAATCACAGGACCTGGTGACAGAGTTATCTTTGATGTTTCATCTACCAAGGAATCTTGATCTTAACATATTCACCAGTATTAGAGGAAAGTGTTTTATTCTATTGATTAAAGCAATTTTTAAAAAAATCAACAAATAAGAAATAACAGTGGGATTTTGTATTCTTTGAGCCTTTTCATCAATTATGTGAATGTGTGGTTCCTTACAGAAGATCTTTGACAGCCACTGTGGCTTGAGGGTGCTCACTTGGAATTTCTGTGACCAGGAAGGCTGAGGCTGGTGGACCTCTTCAGGGCTGGAGTGCTGAACTGCAGTGGCCTACACTGATCAGGTGTCTTCACTAAGTTCAAGGTAAATATGGTGAGGCCCCTAGGAAGGGGGGTGGGGCACCAGGTTGCCCAAGAAAGGGCAAATCAGCCCAGGCCAAAAACAGGACAGGTCAAAGCTCTCATGCTGATCAGTAGGGGGATCAGACTTATGGGTAACCCCTGCACTTCCATCCTCGGTGAAATGGGAAGGCCTGGTCTTTAAAAAATTGTATATCTTTGAGAAAGAATGTCTGTTTCTTTTTCATATTCTTCTTAAGAATTCCCTTATTTGTATATCATCTTCACAAAGGATTTTGTCGATATGAAGTAGCTATTATATATCCATATATGTAAATATATGTCATAAATTATTAATGTTCCCTCAGCCTCCTTTTTCCATCAATAATATTTTGTTGTTTAGTAATTTTAATGGTGTCCAACTCTTCATGACCCCATTTGGGGTTTTCTTAGCAAAGATACTGGAGTGGTTTGCCATTTCTTTCTGCAGCTCATTTTACAGATGAAGAAACTGAGGCCAACAGAGTTAAGTGACTTGCCCAGGGTCACACAGCTAGTAAGTGTCTGAGACTAGATTTGAACTTAGGAAGATGAGTCTTCCAGACTCCAGGCCCAGTATTCTGTGCACTATGACGCCACCTAGCTGCCCTAATCAATAATATTACCCATGAGCATAGGTTCCCCGCTTCCCCAGGAGTTTGGCATTCCTTCTCTCAGATAGTTTGAGAATCTGTCCACCAAATGCCTTCAAAATTAGTTGCTTCTAGCATGGATTTCTTCTACGTATGGTTCAGTTGTTCTTCTGTCTTTGTTGTTTCTAGAGTTGTCTTAGAGCTGGCTTCCAAGACAGGAAGATCTGGGTTCAAGTCTTGCCTCTGACACATACTCTCTGAGTCACACTGCGTAAGTCACTTAACCCCTCAATACTCTAGGCAGTTCCCTAAGACTATAAGTAACAGAGTTAGTGTAGGCCTACATAGGCAGAAGGAATTTCCTCACCTGGGAGTTCCCCTTACCAAAGAAATCCCAATTCCATTTCCTGTTTAGCACATTGGGAAATGAGATGTTAGAGCACAAAGGTGGTGATTCTACCATCATTGATGAAGATGAGAATTTGCTACAGAAATGCTGATGGGTCTGGTCCCACTTTGATCTGTTTATGTCTTTCTGGTTTCATCCTTTAATGCTTAAGAACCTCACACTAAGCTTTCTGAAAATTTTCCCCTTCCAATTCTTCTTGCAGTTTTCTGCTCAAAATGATACTGATTATAATCTTTGATCCTCCTCCTTCATAAGGTTAGAAATAGGAATTTAAACCTGAATCAGTGTTGATCTGGGCTGGCAAGTCATTTTACTTGACGACAATCAAGCACGTAATCAATCAGTGTTTAATAAGCCCATACTATGTACCCAGGCACCGTGCTAAGCACTGGGGATACAAACAGAGGCAAAAGACAGTGCCTGCCTCAAGGAGCTTACAGTCTACTGAGCAAGACCAAATGTTTGCTGACTGAGGCATTTTTAGGCTCTTGGGGTCTCTTTGTTGAGGCATTTACTTTCTATGCATCTACCTTCTGTAGGAAATACTTATAGGCCATGCTGATCTCTCGCCTTGCTCCATTTTACTTTTATCTTGTTAATAGTTTGAACGGATCAGGTTTCAGTTTCATACCTCTTCTTCTCATTTTTATCCTCCCTTCTGATTCAGTATTGATTGTAATCTTTCTTTAACAAGTCGGTGGTAGAGTGTAAGTTCCCTGAGGACAGAAGCCATCTTTCTTTTTGCTGCCATTTGGATTCCCAGAGCTTAGCACGTTGATTGACTGCCTGAATCTGAACATATTCAGACAGCTGATTTATAAATGATTCTCACAACGGTGATCAGTCATTTCTTATCTGTTAAGGCAGAGCCCAATTCCCCTTTTTTCTTTTTTTCATCTGATGCTTATCCTGTCCAGAACTTTTCCATTGTCTTCTGGAAGAAAATATTCATAAGATATGTGTGTGAGGCTTCAGAGGAGGCTACAGACCTTTGACCCGTTTCGTTTCTAAATCATGAGCCTTGATTTCTACCCTCAGTTTTCGTTTTCCTCCGCAATGTCCATCTTTGAATTGAAGTTACCAAATATTAAGATATGCATACATAGACAAAATCATCTCAGTTTCTGATGGTGATCTCTATGAGAGCGTCAAGGACCTCGGAGGCAAGACCATCCCCTTCTGAGTCTTAAGGAGCTGTGGCCGTAGCACCGGCAGTTATTTCCAGACCCCATCTCCACAGAGTGGCTTCCCGGGATGTTCGGTGAGGGCCCTGGGCTGGAAGTAGTGCTATGCCCAGGGCTGCCAGATTCAGGGTCCTGGGCTGTCCCCATCAGGACCTAAGGGGAAATGGTGGTAACGGTGATGGCGGCGGTTTGTCTTGGCTGATCCATGCTCCTCCCCTTTGTTTCTCCTCCAGGGTGCCTTGCTGCTTCAGTGAGGCTAGTTTGCCTCTCTGTGTATGTATGTATGAAAATATAGATAGATACACTCTGTATGTATGAAACTATAGATAGATAGAGCTAGATGGATAGAGATAGAGAGATAGACATAGATTGATATAGGTAGATAGGTATAGATAGATTGATAGGTAGATAGATGAATAGACAGACAGACAGATAGATAGATAGATGAATGGATGAATGGATGGACAGAGAGACAGACGTAGACAGATAGACAGACATGTATGTTGACTTAGTTTGGAGGAATTTACCAAATTCTTTGCAGAATTTCTCTGTCTCCTCATTCTGTACAACAGATGTTCATAGAATATCAGATTTAGAACTGGCAGGGACCTGAGAAATCATCTAGTGAAGTCCAACTCTCTAGATGAGAAAACTGAAGCAAACAGAGGTAAAGTGACTTGCCCAGCATCATACAGCTAGTAAGGGTTAGTGGCAGGACTTGAACTCAGCTCCTCCTGCACTCCATCTACTAAGTCATATTACCTCCAGCTGCCTAAATGATCTCTGCAATAATATTTCTGTTTGTGCTTATCATGAGCATGGCCAGACGAGATGACCAAGTGTCCTATGAAATGCTATTCCCTTATTACCTTTGGCTGCATGATGAAACCTATTCACTGGTTTGTAGATTGAAGGCTGAAAGGAACTTTAGAAGTCATTGAGTCCTGCTTCTTCCATTTTACAAATGAGGAAACCGAGACCCAGAGAGGATAAGTAACATAGGTCACTTAGGCAGTAAGTGGCAGGGTCGGGATTTGAACCCAGGTCCTTTGACTCCCAAACCTGTATAACTTTCACTCTACTACACTGGGACCTTAGTACCAACTCCTTTATTTGTGTCTTCAGGGAGAACCCATGAGCTATCCTTCCTTTTCATTGCAGCTCCTCCATATTTACAGCTAGAATGTCCCTATGGTTCAGCTCCTTCAGGAGCATTGATTCAGTGATCACAGGACAAGAATCTTACTTTTCCAGTGTCAACACTTATATTACTGTTTATAGTCAGTCTAGAAAGTGTGTGATTCCTTCCCCTGAGCCCTCTTCTGCCACCCCAGAGTGGGGTATCCAGGCCTGGGGCCATTTAAAAATTTTCCCTTGTTTCATGAATTCTTCTCCTAGGGGGTAGCCTCTCTGTACTGGGCTCGGCTGGGCCTTAGACAGGAAACTTGATCCGTTCAGGAAGACTGTGCCTGGCACCTTCCTGTTAGTATCACCTGCTGGAGTCTGTGGTCTGCTACCATCACCTGCCATCACTTCTATGCCATAATGAGGCTCCAGAGTGGTCCTTTGGTGATGGAACCTTAGCACCTAGAATGTCAGAGCTGGGGGACCTAAGATGTCAGAACTGGAAGTAATCTTAGGAGCTAGAATGTCAGGGCTGGGAGACACCTTAGGATCTAGAATGTAAGAGCTAGAAGGGACCTTAGGACCTAGAATATCAGGGCTGGTAGATACCTTAAGATGTAGAATGTAAGAGCTAGAAGGGACCTTAGGACCTAGAATATCAGGGCTGGTAGATACCTTAGGATCTAGAATGTCAGAGCTGGAAGGGACCTTAGGACCTAGAATGTCAGAACTGGAAGGGATCTTAGGACCTAGAATGTCAGAGCTGGAAGGGACCTTAGGACCTAGAATATCAGGGCTGGAAGATGCCTTAGGACCTAGAACAGGGGTGAGGAATCTGTGGCCTCCAAGCCACATGTTGCCCTCTAGGTCCTCAAGTGTGGGCTTTTGACTGAATCTAAACTTCACAGAACAAATCCCCTTAATAAAAGGATTTGTTCTATAAAAGTTGGACTCAGTCAAAAGGCCGCACCCAAGGACCTAGAAGGCCACATGTGGCCTGGAGGCCACAGGCTCCCCACCCCTGACCTAGAATGTCAGGGCTAGAAGGGTTCTTAGAACTCAGAACATAGTGTCAGAGCTTTAGAACGTAGAACTGAGAGAGATCTTAGAACATAGAATGGTAGAGACCGTATAAGGCAAAGATTCTTATCCTGTCCGTGAATTTTTACTTTTTTTTTTTTTTTTTGGCGAGGCAGTTGGGGTTAAGTGACCTGCCCAGGATCACACAGCTAGTAAGTGTCAAGTGTCTGAGGCCAAATTTGAACTCAGGTCTTCCTGACTCCAAGGCTGGAGCTCTATCCACTGCACCACCTGGCTGCCCCCCTGTCTGTGAATTTTTAAAAAAATATTTAAATTATTTCAATATGATTAGTTTCCTTTGTACTCCCAAATATTTTATTTTATGCCTTTAAAAACATTCTGAGGAGTTCAAGCCAAAGGGGTCCATGACACTTTGATGTAAGATTACCCCTAATTTTTTTTTTTCAAGTCAATTGGGGTTAAGTGACTTGCCCAAGATCACATAGATAATAAGTGTATGATGCCAGATTTGAATTCTGGTCCTCCTGACTCCAGGGCCAGTGTTCTACCTACTGCACCACCTAGCTGCCCCATAACCTTTCATCTTAAGATAGGGAAACTGAATTCCAGGTGAGGAAGGGGCTTGTCCCAGATCACCCCACCAGCCAGGCCCCTGCTGCCGCTTTCCCTGGGGAAGGAAGCCCCGATGTGCTGTCTCTCAGCCTAGGACCTGCCCTATTGCCTGTAAGGATAAGTTTGGACTCGGTTCCCCAAAGACCTCTGAGCCTCTGCAGTTTGCCTGAAGCCCAGTGTTCTCTGACCCCTCTGGAGCTCGCTGGTCCTGTCACACCTCATGGTGTTTCTATGAATGGGACTGACCCATGCCAAGAACACCAATCCCCTCCCAACTTCCTGTGTTATGCAATGTCAACAGAGCCGCTGTGGGCTGAAGAGGTGGCTGGGCCCCAGGGTGGCCCTGCCGAGTCTGGTTTCTAAAGGGCTTTGTTCCTCAGGGGCTTCTATCTCTCCATAAACCTGGCCTGACCCTGCCTCTCCTCACACCACCCTCTGCCTGCCTCCTAAATCAATATCTTCTCCTGGGGCTCCACCCAGGCCTTGTGTTTACCCACAGCTTCCTCCCCACCAGCTCTAGTGCCTAGGAGGGTCCTTCATGTCCAATGCAGCCTCCTGGGCCTTCTCTCTCGTTCTTTTCAGGGATCTCTGGCCCGGCTGGGCTGGCAGGGCAGGACAGAGGAGTCCATGGTTCTGCCTGTGGTCTCCCCACCTAAGCCAACCTCAAGAGAGGCTCAGGAGCAGTCTTCCTCCTCTCTGCATTGTTGTAACCATGCTCAGCAAGGCAGGGCAGGTAAACTGTGGAAGGCAGCAGTGTCTGCCAATAGTCCTGTTGGAGGCTCTCCTCCACACTGGGACTGCCTATGGGAGAGTGTGGTAGTGAAGAGAGAGAGTGTTGGATCAGAGTCAGGAAGACCTGGGTTGGAATCTGACCCCATTAGCTATGTGCCCCCAGGGAAG